CTTCTGAAACTATTTAAAGCATTTGTAAATAAATGTTCTACACTGCTCAATAACAGGGCTATTTTCTAAAAAATGAGTCACTGGGTAACTTTGTCCTTGTGCAAACATTATAGATTGTACTTACAAAAACTAAGATGGCTACAATAGTGTCAGCTGATATATCTTATATGGCCACCATAGTATAGGCAGGATAGCTGGCCACAGACCAAAAAGTTATGTGGCACATGACTATAGTTATATAGTTAAATATTTATCGCATAGATAAATAGATAAATACACATACATGCATTTCCATGGTTTGAACATTTCCCAAAAAGCATATAGGTATGACTTCATGGGAAATGTTTAGGTCATGATGGCTGAAGCCTCATGAATAGATTAATGCTGATTATAAAAGATCACAAGGCTGCAAGCATGACCTCTTGTTACTTGTCACCATGTGACATCTTTTACCATATTAGCATAGAGCATGAAGGCCTAGACTTCCCAGCCTACAAAACAATAAGAAATAAATCTATGTTCTTCATAAATACTCAGTATGTGATATTCTGCTATAGCAGCATGAGCCACAAGTAAGCCATACTATATATATATATATATATATATATATATATATATATACACACACACACACACACACACACACAAAGGCACAGCTGATGGAAGCTTCATCGCTGATTTCACTTTAGTCACTCCAAATCATTCCACCTAAAACCATGTATTTATCACATATACTCATGTAAGACAATAGGGAACAGTGATATAGATCGTTTGCAAATAGGAAGGGATTTAAGAGATAGTGGGAGGTGGGAGGGAAGGAAGAGGAGGACACATAAAAAGAATTAATACATGTTACTCACATGTACTAACTCCCCACAGTGAATGTAATGATATACTACAAACATTTATAAGAAAAACATTTCAAAAAACAGCCATTGGGCCAGGAAGATAGTTCTTTGGTCTAAATGCCTGCCTGGCAAGCACAAGGACCCACGTTTAATCCCCAGTATTGCATGCCATGCAGGCCCAACCCCAGGCCTGCGAAACCTATCATTGAGACAGAGTATGGTGGTGTGTGCCTGTAACCCCAGCACTGGGGAGGCTTAAACAGGGGGATTACTATGAGTAGGACCTGCGTAGCAAGACCCTATACCAAATACACATTTTTTAAACAAACAGTCCTTAATATACGGAATGAAAACATTATGTATTACAAACATACATAAAAAAGGAAGGGGATCAAGAGATCGATGGAAGGAGAGGAAGGGAAGTGAAAGGGGATCAAAAAGGAGTTAACTTGAGACATAATATGGTAATAATTGGTTTGTCATGACAAGAAGTACGTATTTAGAAGACTAGAATTACAGGCATTCCAAGTGTGACCTTTCTATTACACATTGCTATCTTCAGTGCAGTTGCTTGGTTCATAGGTATCAGCATATATAGTTATCCAGGTTAAGAATTCTACCAATAAACTGCTAGTTTTAAAAACCTGCTGATGTTTCTCAGGAAAACTGCCTTGCCCATCTTGTGCCTATAAATGTATGGCTTTGCCCCTGTCATGTTTCCCAGCTTTTCTCCTTGCCCTCTCCTCATTGTCCAATCCTCAAGTTCTCGCTTTCCTTTTAATTGTGTTATACCTTTCTATTTGTATTTCTTCTTTTGAGTTCTTATACTAGGGAGTCTACATGATATTTATACATGTGGGCCTGGTTTATTTCACTTATGAGTATATCTTCAAGTGGCATCCACTTAAATATAAATACTTCAAGTTTATCATTCTTTATAGCTGAGTAATACTCCATTGTATAAAATTACCACATCTTTTCAACCATTCATCATGTGACGGGCATCTTGGTTGTTTCCAAGATTTGGCTATCACAAATTGTGCTGATATAAACATATGTACACATATGTCACTATGATATGACATTTTCAGTTCTTCTGGGAAAATTTGTTTAATATTCAGACAGATAGTGAAGGTAAACCCAACTGCATATGTTGTAGGGTAATAATAAACTTCTCTTCTGGAGGGTTAACAACCTAAGTTTGCAGAACAAAAATTAGAGAGATCGAAGGGCTTCAAGGACAGCCAACATTTTGACCCTAGCCTTTCAATGTCAGTGAAGACTCAGGACATAGGAGAATCTATAATGTAACATCATGCAACTTAGTTGTGTCCCAAATTTTCTTATCAATGAGATTATGGGGCCAAAGAGGAAACTGATTGATGATGTAGAGTGTGCCTAAGGAGAGTCACATGGAGAGAAAACATTCTCTCAGGCTTTCACAGAGAGCACATTGGCCAAGCAATGGCTGTGGCTCATCCACATGGCTGACACTGACAAAGAATCTACAAACTGCAGTACATGGTTTCAAGATAAATCCTGAGGGGACTTGACTGACCTTATCAAATACAAAAGTTACATTTCTTCTTACAAAGGTCTTGCTTTGTCTTGGTCTTAAGCATCCAGCAGAAAAATATAAAAAGGAAGTATATAAAGTAAAGCCATATTAATATGCTGAGCTGTGAAAGGCTCAAGTCAACAACTTCTGTGGATAACCCACTACTATTGTGGACTGCTAGAATGTGTTGGATTGTTTCCTTGAATTTACACATCTATAGTATTTAGATGACAATGGAATACCCATCTCTGACAGGACTAAACAAAAAAAGGGGATACAAAGGAAGGACCATTTTGTATCTGTATATACAGAGTAACTATGGCTGATATTCAGCTACTTTCACTTAATTCAATGAGAAGAAAGATTTGTACTAATAGTGTTTGGACAGGATATCCTGTCTGCGTCTTATACTATGGATAACCAATAAGAAGACAACAATTTACAATGTATTAATTATTGAAACAGTCCTATTAATCAGTTTTGAAACTGTCTCATTGCTATTTGTTTCTCAAAAAAATATTTTTAAAAAGGAGTTAAAAAGAATTAAAACCAATCAAAATCATCACAAACTTGACAAACTTTACTTGCATGCATTCTTGTTATGCTTTCAACATCTTTTAAAAACAGATTTTCATATTAAAAATAAAATTTTGAATCTGATAAAAAGCAGTAAGATAGTAATACCACCAAAATGATCTAAATTTAGAACTGCTCTGATTTGTAGCTTTTACTATATTTCATATTACATAATGTTCTAATTGATGCTCTTATTCTACTTTTGTTAAGTGTTAGGAAATGTGCCTTAGATACAAAGGCATATTTTTAAATCCAAGGACTAATTTACAGAAGTTCTTTAGAAAGTATCTGCCTCGTAGCTGCTATTATAGTTATACTAAGTATAATTTCCAATCATAATATGCTTGCTGAAAAATATAGCTCTATGGAGTCATGGTGCATCTTTAACTTTTTTTTTGTGCAGGGTCTCACTATGCAGCTCAGACTCGTAGTGATTCTCCTGATTTCTGCCTCACTAGTGCTGGGATTACAGGCATGCACCACCATGCCCAGACTCCATCGCAGGCTCAGTATGCCTGGGGACAGGGCCAGTGCAGCACGTAGTGCCTAGGTGCATCTTATGATATTCTGTTAATTTAGACACAAAATGAGAAACACTGGATAACATTAAAGTGTTCTGCATTCGCCCTCTGGTACCTAACAACAGCAACAACAATAATAATACATTACACAGTGTTTTGGATTTATGGAGTCACTTTGTTCCTTGAAATGTTGCTCACAGCAGTGGGACATGCACCTGCCTGGCAAGTGCAAGGTCCCGATTTCAATACCTGATAACAAAAAATAAAATAAAATAAAAATAACATGGATCATATCTCTAGTAAGCATTTCAGAAAAAAAGGATACTAACAGGTTTATATCATTTATAATAAACTTGAGAAAAGGGCGCTTTTGAGTCCTTACAGAAAATCCAGAGTTATAGGATGGAATTATTATAGTACAATTTCAAACACAATTTCCTTGTCTAAAAGGGAAAACATAATTCTCTACACGTATGAGCTCAACTTCAGAAAATATTTCCTTGATTCACCATTCTTTCATCATTTTGTTAACTACATGTAAAAATAAATAATACTAACAAAGCTAATTACCTCAAATTAAAATCTCAGAACCATTTTTACTTCCCCTACCCTGTTTCTCAATGGTGCTGTACTGACTACCATATCTAGATGAGCCTTCCACTGAAGTCTGTGAGATGCCCGCCTTAGTCTTCTGACCTGATTGTCAACAACTTCTTTCACTTGTCTTAAGACATTGTGCTCTCCAGTTTCTCTTCAGATCATATAAATATTTCACCTTTTACTAAGACACTGTGCTACTGTGCCTTGCTCAAGTTGTTTAGTCCCTGGAAACCAAGGCGTTTACAGTGACTTTAAAATTTCATCTTCATACCATGAAGATTTGTACCCATTGAAAAATATTTTCTTCCTCATCTAAACTATAGAACATTATATTTTCATGTAAATATCTGACATTCATTCTTGTGATATGGGTTATTTACAGGTGTGTGTATGTGAGTGTGTGTGCATGTTTTCATGTGTGCCTTTAGTTACATTAATGATTTTAAACACATTTAAGGAACGACTATTTTGCAATCATTTTCTTTTGGGGGAGGCTGCTCAGTTTGCCTTCAGGGCAGGTCTGGTTTGGCTTGAGGATGATGGGATCAAACCACAGCATCCTGAGCCTGACTGCTTTGTTTCATCAGACACGTAAACACTTGAGCTTAAGGGCAGGCCCCCAGCAATCATTTTCAAATCATCAATTATCTGATCAGAGGAATGAAGGCACTAATAATCTTGCATAGTACTAATAAAAATGAAGACAAAGAAAATAACAGGTTATTGAAATGTACAATGCTGTTAAACATAAGGCAACAAATTTTATTCCAGCCTTTCTTATACAGCAAACATATCAAATCTATTTTTATGATTATCATTTATAGATTTTTTAATTTTACCATTTCAAATGAAACACATAGACCAGGAAAAGCCACAAAACAGTTAAAAATCGATTACCTTTGCTTGCACTTTCTACATGTTCTAGTTCTTCAGGAAATTTCAGGATATCTCGGTGTTTTTCTTCACAAATTTCAGCAATAAAATGCAAAAGCGTTGTCTTTTGATCTGCTGATTTAGTATCTTTGATCTGAAAGGGAACAACATGAAATGTTTTAGTAATTTAAATAGACTTTTTTCTTAAACAAATGGAACAAATGAATGAGTGAATTCAATTCAATAAAACTCACTTAATATTTTTTCTTAATGGGGTCTAGTGGCAAAGCTCAGGATTTTAAAATGAGCATATTTTAAAAGCAAGAAATATGGCCAATGATAGTATCAAATTAAACCATAATGTATATTTTCAAAAATGTTTGAATCATTATGGAAAAATGAACTATTCTTTTCATGAGAGAAGAACATCCACTTACAGTATTTATAGTAATAGTCCAAGTTAATGTGCACTTACGTTAGCAGCATTCTGTTCTTTGCTGTACTACAAAAATATATTCTTGAAAGCAGGATTCATTTGTGAAATTATTCCTACCCATCACTGATATAAATTAATGTAAAAGAATAAGCACATTTACCCTCTACTTCTGTGGGCCACCACAAAATAATTCTCAAAGTGGTTCTTATCTAGAATTATAAAAAAAATCTGACCATGCATTTGCGATAATATATAATTTTTATTTGTCTGCTTACACATTGTATTTCCTTTTCAGACACACTAGAGAAAAGATGCCACAGTTATAATAATAAAAATCTTAAGAGTAGAGCCAAAATAATACAATGAGAATCTAATGTTTCCTTTATTATATCTCTTAAGACTAAGCTGCAAATGAAATCAAGGATTTACTCAGAAGCAAAGCATAAATAGAGCACAAAGTATCAAGTTTTCTCATTCTGTTGGATATTTTAATTCTATAATCCTTAGATGATGGGTTTGTCCACTGATGTTCATACTGATTCGGGATTTCCAGATTTAAGGATTACTCTGTTTAGAATAAATGAATATTGTTCACAAACAGGTTTAACAAAAGGCAACAGATGATATTTAGGTAATTACAGAGTAAATTAATTCTCATTGTTTTAGGAACTAAAAGAAATTCAGAGCATTTAATAATCAGTACCATACTGAATGTGTTTGATACTATAGTTTTTAGCAAATGTGCCATTTCAGATGATGTAAATACCTTAAAAGAACTATTACACTTAAGGCTAAAATAAATAAAAGATCAGGGAATGTATAAGCTGAAGTTCCTATATTTCAATTGTCATAATTATTTCTTTTAGAATTTCGAGGATTACCCAGTACAGGATTGGCAACATATTTAAAATTTGCATTCTCAAAATGAACTGTTAAATGTTTTTCAGTACCACAATTAGCATGACACTGTTCAAGGACAAGTTATAAGTAAACAACATGAACCTCAAGGGCAATTTGTCTTAAGTAACCTAGCAGGTGCAGATGAATCAATGGGAGGCTCTCATTCCTAAAGAGAGGTCTTTAGCAGGGATTACTGTTTAATATGTTGAGAAAGTGCATCATTTCGGAGTATGTGAAAGATTTCAAAGAATACGAAATTTAACATTTTATAACTAACCTACTAATCTTAAAATCCTAAAAATGTCAGATGCTTAAGAATATAGCAAGTACATCTTCCAAAAGAAGAAAGCCACAGAGACTAAAACAAAAATAAAGATAATAAAATATGAAACAATAATCAAGACTAGCCCCATTCTTTCTACAACAAATTATATGGTATATTTAGTTTTAAAAGTGCCTATGAGAAACACTGGAGGAAACACTGAAAATTAAAAATGACATTGATCAACTATGTTAATTCTGTGGGTGCTACTGTTCTCTTATTTTCTTGGTGAGTGTTACATTATTCTGCACTAGAAACCTAAGTTTTGAGTATGAATTATTACAGTGTTTAAATCTCAGAATTTTAATATATATTCAGTATCATTAAGAATTTAATTTTTATGAAATTTATTAGAAACAATGTTTACATTTTAAAAATTAAAAAATCATAAAATTAGTAAAGTAATGATCTATGTTGATGAAATCACAAAGGCATATTGACAGAAAATGCGTATCTTTTGGATTTATAATATTTCGTTCAAAGGACGGACAGACATGGTCAAACACATACATGCCTTGCCATGCTGAGAAACATCTTAGCTTGTCTGTGAAACAACATTTACTTGGTAACATAAAAATACTCACTTAAGTATTTATGTTAAAAACACCTTAGTATTCAAGAGTACATTTTAATGTTTCAAATTGGCAGCAAATCATGACAAATAAGTGATTTTTTCAGACTTTCTTGATGTGTGTGAACATTGGACCAATTCTTGTGAAATAAATACATAATAGAACAGAAAAATTTAGTTTTTTAAAAGTGTATGTATTTGACACAGGATCTCACTGCACAGCTTGGAGTAGTAATGACCTTCCTGATTTCAGCCTCCCTAGTGCGAGGATTACAGGCGTGCACCACCATGCCTGGCCTCAGTGGCTGACTCAACGCTCCTGGGGGTAGGGCCGGCACTGCATGCAGGACTGAGGATCAAACCCTCTTCCTTGCACTTGTCAAAGCAGGCACTTAGTCTGCTCAGCTGTCTTGCTGGCAATAGAATTGAAAATTTTCTTGGTGAAGTACATTTACTTTATATTATTATATCTTTTGTCAATCTCATCTGGTCTGTCTTACTTCCCCAACTGTGTTTTTCATTATTAGCATAGAGGGCAACTAAAATCATTTACTTTCATCAGTTGTACTAGATAATAACGTTACTCCAATAATTTGTTCTTGTCCTGGATCTATCTATCTGTCCATAAACATTAGAAAATGTATTTGGATGGACAGATAAGATAGACAGATAAAGATAAAAATATGTCAGGGGAGAACAAAAGCAATCTCAGTATGTACAGAATCACTACCAAAGTGCTTGTGTTAGCTTATTAAGTGAAAAAATTGATTCCCATTTGATATCCGATTAACTTGAAACTGTTGAAAATTTGATATATTAAATATTCAAACAATACTCACCTATATTGCCTATGTCTCATTGATGACTATAATGCCAGTATGTCAAGGTTTGCCCTAGTCACCAGCGAAGTACTTTTTGATATACCTGTTTATATTTTTTCCTCTCTTTTTGCCAGCCATGGTTAGGTAGGATGTGAAACAGATACATGAATTATTTGTAAAAGATGCAAAAGGATGAATAAATGGCCAGTCTACAATCCCCTGTCTTTTAAATGCTTTGAAACAATGGAAAAACAAACAGAAGTTTCAGAAATTAGTAATGCTTGCAAAAGCTAAAAACAATGTATGTTACTTTAATAAGGTGATTTATCAATGAATAATAACAGTCACTGTAAATTGAAGCAGATTTTTTTTAATTAACAGTCACTGTAAATTGACAATGCCACCAAATTATCAAACAACATAGCAGCTTTAATTGTAATCACCTGACCAATAAATGTCACCCATAGATTAATAATGCAATTTAATTTATTCTACCTAATTGTGCACGTGTGTGTGTGTGCACGTGCGCACACATGCGCGCAGGATCTCACTACACAGCTCAGATTCATAGTGATCCTCTTATTTCTAGCCTCCCTAGTGCTGGGATTATAGGTGTGTGCCACCATGCCCGGACTTGGTCGCTGGCTCATTATGGCTTGGGGGCGGTGCTAGTGTGACATGTGGTACCAGGGATGGAACCCTGGCCCTGGTACTTGCCTAATCAAGCACTTAGTCTCCTGAGCTATCTCACCAGCTCATCTACCTAATTGTTAGTAACTGCTGAAATGCTACATATATGCATATACTTTTAATAAAACAATAGCCATTTCTATAGATAGACCTGGTAATTATGAAATAAATATGAATGATACATGACAAAAGATAATATTTATGTTTTACATGTACAAATGCATTACTACAACTTTCGATACTGGACAGCAAAGCATTTGAATAACCAATTGACACAAAGGAGATGTAGTTATTCTAAATATGTTCATTGAAGCCTGAAATTCATCAGGTCTGCCATGTCTCTGAAATTGGGAAGAAATCAGCACATAGAGACTGACACAACACTTTAATGATCTTTGTCAGTCACATTCAATCTTTTATTGGAAGACCATTTCTATAGGTAATTTTCCCTTCTGCTACAATTTAAGCCTATTTTGTCTTGCTTTGTCTTCAGTGAAAACTGGAAATAACTGGTCACTATCTCCTGTATAACTTCTCACAAAGTCAGTTTGTCTGTCTTTTGTTTTATTATCTACCCTAACCAACCATAGTTAATTTAATATCTCTATAGGGATTCTAATCTTCAAATGTTTAAGTTTTCCTTGGTAAATAGGATCCATTAAAAATTTCCACTGCAGAATTTTCTATCATCTACCATAGAAACACACAGATCTCTTGGTTTTACATAGGCAGTCCCTCATGAGCTGACTCTTTTCTTTCTAATCTGTCTGCTTTGGATGTTGACATGATTACAATTGCTAAAACATGTCCTGTGTAGTTTTATACCACTGTGCCTTTGCATAAGTTGTTCTGTGTTTGCATAAGTTGTTCTCCTGCCAATTTCCATTCTAGATGTGAGTGACCTATTCATATTACAATGGCAATCACAAACACCAAAATGGCACCCAGGATTTAAAAGGAGATTTATTTTATGTTGACAGGAACTGATGAGGATCATTCCCAAAATAGCAAGCCCCAAAAACCCAGGGAAGGAGGGAAGTCTATAGTTGCATGGGTGCAAGACATGGTGACATGGGAGTGAGGAATCAGAGGAGAAGCATTTCATCATAGGCAGAAAACAGAAAAGTGGCATAGAAGCAAGCAGCAGCAGCAAGCCCTTACAGCAGCCCTGTTTCTGTCCCTTTTATTCTGTTCAGGCTATGTGCCCTTAGACCCACCATCATATCCTCAATCTTATCATCACACACCCTAGCTCCAGCCACTGCCATAAAGTTCCACCTATGACTGCATGAAACTTTGTGGGGGGTTTCTAGGCACAAACATAGAAATTCTATGTGCACACAAGTATAAAAGAGGGGTTGGGGAGGAAACTGGTATCTTCCAGGGTACTCTATGTCCTGAGACTTAAGTGGGA